AAAGAGTGAACAGTAGAGAGGAAACTGGATTAGGAGGTCAGAACAGAAAGAGGGATCATCATTTAAACTTAAATATATATATATATATATATATATATATATATATATATATATAAAAAAAACATGTATATAATAATGAAGTTGATGTCCCAGCGATAATAAGATACTTGAAACTTTTGCATCCAACTTTATATTTTATTCATCTCCAGGATTGGTTAGTTACTGCTGGCTTATGTGAATTTGCGGCTCTCGTAGGGTCCTCAACCAAAGGCCACCCTTGCCTTCTTCGTCTCTGCTATCGGATAGTATCTCCTCCCTATTCTCTGGTGCTTTTGTTTATATATGCATCTGTCCGACGGTTTTTCCCACGTGTACACATACCAGTCGCTGCCTTTCCTACAGGCGTTCACCTCTCTGGGTTGTGACTGCCAACCGGAGAAATATGAGAACAACGATTACTTCGGCACATATGACGAAAATGAACATAATTTGGCAAAGGCTGAGAGGCAAATCTAATAATTCCAATAAAGATTCATATTTATTAAGGTGAATATGATTGCAATGCACTAAAGGGCGTATGTAGATATTCTGATAAAATTTTCTAAATCGTTGGCCATCTGAAGACGTAGTAACACTCATACCAGTGCACCTTCTGTACCTGATCTTTGGACAGTGATTCACGCCTCAATAATGCTCCGTTTGGTAAGAGTCCAGTGCATTCAGAGGCGATGTCACGAGGACGCACACGTATACCTTTTGGAAAATTAGAGCCGTTTCAGATGCTGTATTATGCTGAAATCATAAATTTCACACCAGACGGTCAATAGAAGTCGGCTGCATGGTTGACTTGGGATTACTCTCGTCCACCGAATGCGGGAGTACGCGGCCTAATACTTGTATACGGTATTGCAATCATCAGAAAGAAAATGGGCGGACTGATAATTATTAACAAATATCAGAGAGATGATGAAGCATTCGGGACTAGCATCACAAACCTAAATGAATGAATAAGACAAAACCTAAATATCAGTAAACGTTACATCCGCAGAAGCACTCTCTCTCTTTCACACATATCCACACAGGCATACATGCGTACACGCAGGCACACACATACGCACACACACGAGATGTTGAAGAATATTTCCCTGTCAGGCTAGAACGCTATCGTAGACAAATTTAGATTTTGGGCATACGAAAATGAAATAAGTGCAACAATTTAAGTACGTGGAAAGAGTTTCAACAGAGGACGGAAAGTGCGACACTTAAACCCAATGTTCATTAGGATTCCCTTCAAAAGCTGAGCAAAGTATAATGAAATAAGAAACCTTCGTTAGTACCAAGGAAAAGAGTACTGAAGTGTTCCGTAATATTAGTCATCCTCTATGGCAGTGACTGCGGGACAGCTCCCTGACAGATGAAGAAGAGACTTGAAACAACAGAAAGAAAGAAAAGAGGACTGAAATGTTATGTAATATCAGTCCTCCTATATGACATTGAATGCTGGACAATCTCCTCACAGATGAAGAAGAGACTTGAAACACGAGAAACAAAGAAAAGAGTACTGAACTTTTATGTCATATCAATCCTCCAATATGGCTGTGAATGCTGAACAATCTCTTCACAGATGAAGAGACTTGATGCAAAAGTCACAAAGAAAAGAGTACTGAACAGTTATTTAATAGCAGTCCTCCTATATGGAAGTGAATGCCGGACAGTCTCCTTACAGATGAAGAAGAGACTAAAAGCAACAGATAAAAAGAAAAAGGTAATGAAATGTTATGTAATGTCAGTTCTAGTATATTCCCTAGGATATATATATATATATATATATATATATATATTGCAATGAATCATTCATACAAAATGTAGATTGGTACAGTTAATGATATAAAATGGCGAAATCCCTTCGAAAATAAAATCTTAAAGGTTCATTAACCTACAAACACTCCATGAATGTTATGTCGTTTTTTTTAAATATAAGCTGTATAAAGTCTTTCTTTAATATGCTAGTACTTTCATCTGTACATCCAGTCATCCTCATGCGTGAAGATGACTGAGTGTACAGTTGAAAGTACTTGTGTATGAAAGAAAAGTACTTTTTGTATGAATGATTCATTGTAATATTAATTGAACTGCACCACTCGAGTTAGAGGGTTACAGAGCAAGAAACACTAGCTCTCTCTCTCTTAAGAGAGCCCAATACAAAGTAGAGCAATATTATATATTTTACGATAGTTCATGGAAAACATGGATGACCTACGTTAAATTTACTTACTTTAAATTTAACGTAAGTCACATTCGATTGGTTGATTTAAAGCCCAAAAATTTTATACGCCCACTTTTTTCTTTTTTTCGTAAAAGAGATTGTATTTTGCTTTTAAATCTAAATAAATCATTCACTCGCCAATAATTTACAATCGCCTGATGAGATGTATTTGATACACACCAAAACACGACTGCAAATGTGTAGCGATTTTGACATGTTCTCCATATAATATCCTAACATAATTAATACATATATATATATATATATATATATATATATATATATATATATAATAAAAAGGCTTAAGCACTAATATTCCATGGTCATAATTTATTCCATTGGAATCGTAAATACGATCCAATTCATCAGGCCTACAAATTCATAAAGAAAACAGAAAAATCAACTCCGGAAATAAAAAATAGAATTTAGCGAAAAAAAAAAAAAAAGATAACCCTTTATGAACAGTATTTACATTAGTCGGACTATTGTCCTCATCTTTGTCGCCATATTTGTCACAACGTTTATGAAGTCAAATGATAATTTTCCCAAAAAAAAAACAAATGTTAGCGACTTATGACAGTTGTTTTTATATACACAAAAACCCTTTCAGAAAAAAAAAAATCTCCATAGACACTTAACCAGACTAGACGATGTCATCTTCCGCTTTAAATTTAGACACCCCAACCTTACCCTGACTTGACGTCTGTCAATGTAACTGAGACATTGATACAAATTATTAACCCTTACACTCCTTTTCTTTAAATAATTGCTCTAGCCGTTACCATAGTAATTTTAAAAAAGAATATGCTTATAAAACGTGTACATTTCAGGAATTAATTATTCCAAAAGAATTTCGCTTAAAGATGGAACAGAGCTTGGTACTTTAATTCAATTTAATTCAAATAATTATATTGAAGTTTTTGGCTCTTGTTTTGAAACATGAGAACTCTTATGTAGCGTGTTGGAATCATAATTTTAAATAAATAATTATATTTATGGTCTACTTTTGTATCGAGCACTATTTTTTAAAAATAACAACAAAAATACTAAAGAACTTTGGATTATTTAACTAACGAGTTCTTTCCTATTTTCTATATATTTTTACACACACACAGACACACACACACACACACACACACACACACACACACATATATATATATATATATATATATATATATATATATATATATATATATATTACTATGAGTACAGTATAAGTAAATATAATTTTTTGTATTTGCCATCAGTGAAAAGTCAGTTACTTAAATACGTGTTCTGACTAAATTGAGCAAGAATTCATTGTCGATAAAATAAAATTTTTCAATGTCCACCATTTAGGCATGTACGTTGTTCATTGATTGTTTACATGATCCACAAGTACGTATGGTGATGCCTGCTTTCAGTCTTATACTGGTTAACCTCAACGCTTTCGGGTAATTCTCATAGAAGTATCCGAAAAATAAAAATAAAACTCTTTTCGTATTTTTCTAACTTTTAGCTATGCCAGATTTTACAAGCGCACTAAGGTATTTCATTCTCTAAATATATATACCACATATATATTTGTGTACCATGCGACATTTGAAGATCTAAATTTGAAGCTAATGTGACTACAGTAATTGGATACATAAATAGGTCAATGGCGTAGCCAGGGCTAGCAGTACATACACTAATTTTATATCTCGTGCACGATGCGACCCCCTTAAAATTAGCTACAAAATTAGATCTTCAAAAGTCGCCGGGTACGCGGGTATATATGGTATATATAACAAACCAAACTATAAGAATATTTTTTGGAAGTTATTTAAAACCTGTCTAGATTATAGAAATGGGTAGCAGATACAGTGGCCAAGAAATGGGGGATGAGTTTAGTACTAAAGATCAATACAAAACTGATCCCTCACTTTCTATCCTTTCATTTGATTACCTATAAGGATGTTTTAGAATTTCATCTATGAATTTACTATGGCCAAAAAATGGGGGATGTGTTTAATACTAAAGAACAAGACAAAACTGATCCCCCACTATCATTCTTTCCATTATCTATAAGGATGTGTTGGAATTTTATCTAAAAATCTACTATGGCCATGAAATGAGAGATCTGTTTAATACTAAAGAACAATACAAAACTGAACCCGCATTTATTACCATTGCTTACCTTGATTATTTCTATGGTTGTTTTTTTTAGTTACTGTATATATATTCGCGCATCATGCTACTTTTGATACCTAATTTTGAAGCTAATTTGACTTCAGTAAATAGATATATAGATTGGTCAACGGCGTAGCTAGGGCCAACATTACATACGCTAATTTTATATCTCGGGTATGATGCAAACCCCTTAAAATTAGCTACAAAATTAGATCTTCAAAATTGCATCATACGGGAGTAGAAGAGTTATGTGCCATGCGTGATATACGCTTAGGCGATCATTGTCTTTCGATACATGACTGACGACGCAGTCTACCGCAGTATTTCTTTCTGCGGTAGACCATTTGACATCTCAGGCTATAGACCCCGGTCTGTCCTGCTATTTATTGGTGGGGGGCGGAGAAGAAAATTCATTCCTTTTCCAAGGGTATTAGTAGGAAAGTAAATGAACTGGAATGCGAACGCTGATCTCCATCCGCTATCCATTACTCCACCGTGCCTCCTCTTAAGTAAGCAGATATTTTTGCCATCGTATATTGTTTACCCTCATACAAATTTCCATTTCAAGACGAATTTTTCTTCAGTCCTGTTCTCTCTCTGATTTCATGATAGATAGAGAGATAGATAGACAGATATGAACAGGCTGAGATAGATAGATCTGTTTAGAATAAGATAGATAGATCTGAATAGAATAAGATAATAGCTAGACATACAGACAGCCAGAGAGATCTGCATAGAATTAGATAGATAGATAGATCTGAACAGAATAAAATAATAGATAGACAGACAGATAGATCTGCATAGAATTAGATAGATAGACAGGCAGCCAGCCAGATAGATTTGCATAGAATTAGATAGATAGATAGACAGACAGACAGACAGATACATCTGCATAGAATTAGATAGATAGACAGAGCGACAGCCAGATAGATCTGCATAGAATTAGATAGATAGATCTGAATAGAATAAATAATAGATAGACAGAAAGACAGCCAGATAGATCTGCATAGAATTAGATAGATAGATAGATAGATCTGAATTAAATAAGATAATAGATAGACAGACAGATAGATCTGCATAGAATTAGATAGATAGGTTGACAGACAGCCAGATAGATCTGCATAGAATTAGATAGATAGACAGACAGACAGACAGATAGATCTGCATAGAATTAGATAGATAGACAGACAGCCAGCCTGATAGATCTGCATAGAATTAGATAGATAGATAGGTTGACAGACAGCCAGATAGATCTGCATAGAATTAGATAGATAGACAGACAGACAGACAGATAGATCTGCATAGAATTAGATAGATAGACAGACAGCCAGCCTGATAGATCTGCATAGAATTAGATAGATAGATAGGTTGACAGACAGCCAGATAGATCTGCATAGAATTAGATAGATAGATAGATCTGAATAGAATAAAATAATAGACAGACTGACAGACAGATAGATCTGCATAGAATTAGATAGATAGACAGACAGACAGACAGACAGATCTGCATAGAATTAGATAGATAGACAGACAGACAGCCAGATAGATCTGCATAGAATTAGATAGATAGATAGACAGACAGACAGACAGATCTGCATAGAATTAGATAGATAGACAGACAGACAGCCAGATAGATCTGCATAGAATTAGATCGATATACAGACAGAGAGACAGATAGATCTGCATAGAATTAGATAGATAGATAGATCCAAATAGAATAAAATAATAGACAGACTGACAGACAGATAGATCTGCATAGAATTAGATAGATAGACAGACAGACAGACAGATACATCTGCATAGAATTAGATAGATAGATAGACAGACAGACAGATACATCTGCATAGAATTAGATAGATAGACAGAGCGACAGCCAGATGGATCTGCATAGAATTAGAAAGATAGATCTGAATAGAATAAGAAAATAGATAGACAGACAGACATCCAGATAGATCTGCATATAATTAGATAGATAGATAGATCTGAACAGAATACAATAATAGATAGACAGACAGACAGATAGATCTGCATAGAATTAGATAGATAGATAGATAGATCTGAAATAAATAAGATAATAGATAGACAGACAGATAGATCTGCATAGAATTAGATAGATAGACAGACAGACAGACAGATAGATCTGCATAGAATTAGATAGATAGACAGACAGCCAGCCAGATAGATCTGCATAGAATTAGATAGATAGATAAATAGACAGACAGACAGACAGATAGATCTGCATATAATTAGATAGATAGATAGATCTGAATAGAATAAAATAATAGACAGACTGACAGACAGATAGATCTGCATAGAATTAGATAGATAGACAGACAGACATAGATCTGCATAGAATTAGATAGATAGATAGATAGATAGATCCAAATAGAATAAAATAATAGACAGACTGACAGACAGATAGATCTGCATAGAATTAGATAGATAGACAGACAGACAGACAGATCTGCATAGAATTAGATAGATAGACAGACAGACAGCCAGATAGATCTGCATAGAATTAGATAGATAGACAGACAGACAGACAGATAGATCTGCATAGAATTAGATATATAGATAGATAGATAGATAGATCTGAATAGAATAAAATAATAGATAGACAGACAGATCTGCATAGAATTAGATAGATAGACAGACAGACAGATAGATCTGCATAGAATTAAATAGATAGATAGATCAGAATAGAATAAAATAATAGATAGACAGACAGATCTGCATAGAATTAGATAGACAGACAGACAGACAGATAGATCTGCATAGAATTAGATAGATAGACAGACAGACAGCCAGATAGATCTGCATAGAATTAGATAGATAGATAGTTAGATAGATAGAGAGATAGATAGATATACCTGCGTGTGGTTCCCTAGGGGAAAGCCTTAAAAACATACCATAGTTTTTAGGTGAAACTAGGTACGCGTAACTGTTCAGAAGCTGTGTCATGAAAAATATCGATATTTCAAAGAACTACATGAAGTTTCGACTCTCCAAATGGAACTTCATTCCGTATAGATCTTTCGGACTCAATTATGAACCAGATAATTGTCTACCTTTAAACTCCA